AGGAAAGCCCAGGTTCAAACTCAAGCCCAAAATCTAACTCTCTCCTCTTCGTCATTTTAGCGTCGGACTGAGAAAGAAAAACATAGATAGCCGGTTGTTTCAGCTAGTCGACCTCGATGGACACGTACTGAAAAACAGAAATGGGTAGTACGCTCTCTTTCTCCTTCTCCAGGTCTAACCTCTATCTCTCATCCTAAGAGCTCATCTTCTACCCCTTCTTCGAGTAAGGTGCTGGGAAATGGTTAAGGTAGAGCGGAGGATCATTTGGATCAAAAGAGAGATTTTTCTGAAGCTATCGTACCACGGGATGCCGTATCACTGTCTTCAATGACCAAGTCCGGAAGTATTGATTGTTCCAACGGGGTGACAGTTTGTGTTGGACGAGACCTTCATTTTAGGCTGACAGATGATTTAGCCGTGACTTTACTTAATGAACTTAAGCTCTGTGTTGCTCTAAAAGGCTTGAATGGCCTACCCTCCATGACTGGGATGAATTCTACCCCTGATTTAATGACAAATTTTATGGATGACCCTGGAACAGAGTTGAATCTGCAATTAAACTTGTATCAGAACAGTGTTGAAAGCAAAGGGGAGGACTTTGATGATCAATCTCAACAGATTTGTCCTCTTGCCTGGGATATTGATCAATCTGATGTGGACATTATGGAACCCTTAGCAACTGCGCACCCTGATTGCTTAGAGACGGTTAACGATTTGGGTATGGACTGGGTGTTAGATAATATTGGCGAGGTCAGCGAAGCTTTGGGTGTCTCATCGGAAGGTGATGATGATCGAACACAAACTATTCTTCATGATATTGTGGCAGGAAACAATAATGCAGAGACCTTTAAACACACAAAAGTTGTTAAAAATAGAAAACATGCACATCGGAAAGGTGATCAGGAGGTTAAGAACCTTATTTCCAATGTCAATTACGAAGGGAAGAATGGGGTGAATAAAGAAAGGGGAAGGACTAGAAGTGGGAAGCAGGGAGGAGGGGCACTGATTATTTTTGGTTCTCAATGAAGATACGAATTATTACATGGAACGTCCGTGGATTAAATGATCCGGACAAAAGAAAGGTGGTTAAAGTTGCTTTGAAGAAGTGGAATGCCCATGTTATCTGTTTGCAAGAAACTAAGTTGGCTTCTATTTCTGATGATGTGGTTAGAAGCCTTTGGGGAAGTAGGTTTGTGGATTGGGAAGCCTTGAACGCCTATGGTACATCAGGCGGCATTTTTTATTATGCGGGACCGTAGATGGATGTCCAGAACAAATATCTGGAAAGGGCTATTTTCTTTGTCTTGCGTGTTTCAGATGGAAGATGATAACTTCAGTTAGGTATTTTCTGGAGTTTATGGACCCGTTATTGATTGTGTTAGACTTGTTTTTTTGGCAGGAACTCAGCTACATTAAGGAATTGTGGTCGTTGCCTTGGTGATTAGGCTGGGATTGCAATTCTATTCGGTCTCCATTTGAAAGATCCACAGGGGGGAGGTGGTCTTCGGAGATGACCCAGTTCTCTGACTTTATTGATGGTAACCTTCTTATTGATTTGCCTTTGGAAGGGGCAACTTTCACTTGGTCTAGCGGCAGAGACCCAGTTACTTGATCGAGGCTTGATAGATTCCTGATCTGGAGATTGAGAGGAGAAGTTCCCGGATGTCACTCAGTCAGCTTTGGTTAGAGTCACATCTGATCATGTGCCCTTAGTTCTTGATTGTGGAGGTATGCGATCTAGACGAACTCCATTTCGTTTCGAAAATATGTGGTTGAGAGTTGAGGACTTCCAAGGGAAGGTCCAGTCCTGGTGGGAGGAAACAACGTTAATTGGCTCTACTAGCTATGTGCTTGCTAAGAAGTTTCAGATTCTCAAATCTGAGCTTAAGAAGTGGAATAAAGAAGTGTTTGGTAATCTTGAATGGAAGAAAAATAGAGTCCTGACTGATATAGCTGAACTTGATCGTCTTGATGAGATAGGGCAAGATACGGATTCTCTACGCTCTAGAAGAGCGTCTTGTCAGGCGACTTTTGCTGAGATTGCTACTATGGAGGAGATATCGTGGCGTCAGAAATCTCGGGCTTTGTGGCTTAAAGAAGGTGACCGTAATACTAAATTCTTTCACAGACTTGCTAACGCTCATAGAAGATACAATAATATTGGGCGTATTCATGTCAATGGTACAGAGTTGTGGAAAGAAGATGAGGTGCGTGGGGGTATTGTTTCTTTTTATCAGCAGCTCTATACTGAGACTTTGGAACGGAGACCAAAACTTGATGGTTTGCATTTCGATGCTATTTCTACGCTGGATAGTGATAAGCTTGAGATGCCGTTCTCTGAAGAGGAAGTTCTTAAGGCGTTATCCAGTTGTAATGGTGATAAAGCTCCAACGCCAGACGGATTCACTATGCGGTTTCTTAAAGAGAGCTGGGAGGTGGTGCGTAATGAGGTAATGGGCACTTTTCAGGAATTTCATTCTCATGGCACATTTGAGAAATCATTAAATGCATCTTTCATTGCTCTTATTCCTAAGAAGAGCAACGCCTCTGACATTAAGGACTTTCGGCCAATCAGTTTAGTGGGGTGTATGTATAAGCTTATTGCCAAGGTCCTTGTTCTTAGAATGCGAAATGTTTTGGATGGAATCATCTCAGAGTCACAAAATGCTTTTGTTGGTGGTAGACAAACTTTAGATTCCGTTCTTATTGCAGGAGAATGTGTCGATTCCAGGTTGAAGAGTGAAGTTCCTGATGTCTTATGCAAACTTGATATCGAGAAAGCTTATGATCACGTGAATTGGAAATTTCTTCTTTACTTGCTTCGGAGAATGGGGTTCGGGGATCAATGGATAAAATGGATTAAATCTTGCATCTCCTCAGTAATGTTCTCTGGTGCTTATGAACGGCTCTCCTGCTGGTTTTTTTCCGAGTTCACTTGGATTGAGACAAGGAGATCCTTTGTCGTCTTTTCTTTTCCTTATTGTCATAGAGGGACTGAGTAGATTAACAAAAAAGGCAGAGAATCTGGGTTACATAAGGGGTTGACTGTTGGCAGAGATGTTGCTAACCAGATTGAGATATCCCATTTATTGTTTGCAGATGACACATTGGTTTTCTGTGATGCTGATGTTTCCCAACTCAGGTATTTGAGGTGCATTCTTACATGCTTCGAATCAGTGTCTGGTCTTAAGATTAATGTTGGAAAGAGTATGCTTGTCCCAGTGGGGGAGGTCTTCAATATTTCCACTTAGCTGCTATTCTTAGGTATGGAGTGTGTGCTTTTCCACTCCCTTATCTGGGATTACCTTTAGGAATCTCCTCTAGGAGAGTGGGGACTTGGGATCCGGTGATTAACAGGTATGAAAAAAGATTGGCGGGATGGAAAAAATAATATCTCTCGAAAGGGGTGAAGGTCACTCTTATTAAGAGCACCCTTTCGTCCCTTCCCACATATTTCTTATCTCTGCTTCAGATCCGATGCTCTATTGCTGAACGAATCGAAAAAATTCAGAGAGATTTTCTTTGGGGTGGAAAATGAGAGGAGTTTAAGTATCATCTTGTTAATTGGGAGCAGGTTTGCAAACCGTTGAAGTTTGGCGGTTTAGGTATCCGAAAGTTGGTCCCTTTCAATAGAGCCTTATTGGGGAAGTGGTAATGTAGATTCGGTAAAGAGCGTCATCATCAATGGAGAAGAGTTATCTCGTGTCGTTTTGGGGAGGAGAGTGGAGGTTGGTTCTCTCGTCTTGTTTCTGTTACCGGGGGCGTTGACGTTTGGAAGTTCATTCGAAAAGGTTGGGATGTGTTTTTCACCCATATTCAGTTCAAGGATCGAAATGGTACGTATGTTAGATTTTGGGAAGACTTATGGTGTGGTGATCAGTTGTTGTCTCTTTCCTTTCCTCGTCTTTTTAGCATTGCCGAGAATAAGCATGCTTACGTAATTGACTGTTATCATCTTGATAACAGTGGAATTATGTGGGATGTGCGGTTTAGGTGTTCTTTTCAGGATTGGGAGATAGCTGAAGTTTGCGTTTTTTTGAACCTATTGTATAGACAGAAGGATGCTGGCAGAGGTTGTGACGATATTTTATGGACCCCCTCTCTTCATGGTAGATTCGAAGCTCGATCCATATTCTTGTGTTTGTCTAATTTTATTGGACATGATTTCCCATGGAAGTGTATTTGGCGCTCTAAAGCTCCTCTTAGAGTTGCCTTCTTTGTTTGGACAGCTACCTGGGGAAAAATTCTAACATTAGATAATTTGCGTAAGAGAGGTAATATCATTGTTAACTAGTGTTGCCTTTGTAAAACTGATGGTGAGTCCGTGAACCATCTTCTTATGCACTGTCCTGTTGCAACTGATTGCTGGAATCTCATATTCAGCATTTTTGGTGTTCAGTGGGTAATGCCTAAGCACTCTTTCCAATTAATTGATTCTTGGAGAAGATGCCCTGTTTCTGGTCATGCTTGTGATTTTTGGAGGATCGCCCCACACTATGTTTAGTGGTGTATTTGGAGAGAGAAATAACAGACACTTTGAAGGGAAGGAATCGTCTTTTGTAAACCTTAAGTCTCTTATTCTACGCTCTCTTTTCTGTTATGTTAAAGGCAGTGTTTGCTCCTCAATTGATGATTTTTTTGTTCTATTGGACTCTGTTGGTCCGTAGGTTTGGCTTATGCTTTTTCGTGTTTGTGTATTAGGGACGCGTTCCCCTTTTGAACGTTTTTCTAATATATCTTTACTAATCAAAAAAAAAAAAAAAAAAAGAAGAGAGAAGCTAGCTAGCTAGCTCTTGTTTTTTCCAATACCAAAAACTTTATACTCCACATTTTCCAGTAAAGATGTAGGAAATGTTCACTCACCACCAGACTCTTGTTTTATGGAATAATTAATAATAGATTAATGGAGAGAGGGTTTTTCACTTCTAAAAACAATATTCAGCAAGGAAGCTTTTTAATTGAAAATATATATATATATTAGCATTAGCAGAATAAAAAACTGCATATAACTCAAGCTCTTTCATTCCTTTCATCAGTATCACTCATACAATAACCAAAAGAAAAGGAAAAAGAGAGGAGACGAATGTCTTACTACGGCAGCAGTTTGGAACTTCAATCCGGCGACCAAATGAAACAGGAATTGAAAAACAAAGCACCGGTGCCATGGATTGGCATGTATGTTGCAGCAGCATCTCTAGTCTGCTCCCTTGCAATGGCTGCTGATCTCTTCCATGGGTTCCGCCACAAAAAACTTTGGTTTCCATGCAAATTTTTAACTCTCAATGCTGCTACTTTGACATTGTTAGCTGTGGCTATGAAGCTACCAATGGATATAAGTACTGACATGCCAACAACGGCTGATCAACTGGCTAAACTTAGCAGCACCATTTTCATGTCTACAGCAATGGGTAATCTTATGCCATCTTTAGGAACAATGGATGACACAGAAATTCTCATGAACCTAACAGCCTTAGGTATTCTGGTAATCACCATTTTCTTGAATGTCTGCATTCAATTACACACCGGACTATTGAGTAATTTTCTTGTAATAGAACATATTGCAGTTATGCTTTTCATGCTTGTTTTGCTTGTTATATTGAGTTTCTCAGCTCTGATGGTTCCAATTACCAAAAAGCATATCCAACTGAAGTATGCTGGTATGCACAAATTGGCTTCAAGTGAAGAATTAGGTAAACTGAAAAGTTTACATTTGATGCACTGAAAAAGGATGCGAAAAAATATTGGATGTTGGCAGAAACAAGCAGTCCTCAGTTTGTAATGGCACGCTCCGTGACTAGCTCTGCTGCAGGGGCAATCTGCTTTCTGACTACTTTCATTTTAGTAGAAGCCTCTTTCAAGATGATCAGGCACCCCAGCTACTCCAGTTACCCTCAGAGTACCACATCAGATTATGGGGAGTCAAAAGCATTTATTTACCATATGCAGAGAATTGGAGTGCTTGTAGGTTCAATTGGCCAAGTATTTAGATGGTTCATTGCTGCAAAATTGAGGTTCTCAGAGAAAATATTGGATAGCAAGGCTGGTTGGGTGGAAAGAGGGCCGTTTAGCATTACAGATCCAGAGCCAAAAATGCCAAAAACTTGTTTACTACACAAAGAATCTATTTCTTGGCTTCTGTATAAAATTTCAGATTTTCATTGTCATAGCTAGCAAATTGATTCTTCTCATCACCATTTTCTTCATATGCCCATTTTTGTCATTTTGCCACTACTGCAAGGAGTTAAAGCGGAAGCTCCTGCCAGAATCTAATGCCTCAAACAATCATACAGTATCAGAATCAAAACCTGGTACAAAGCTAGATCTTAGCTTTTATGTTTTTCATCTTGAAGGCGAGGAGGAACTGCCACTACAGATCGTGAAGAACAACAAACATGCCACTGATCATTTTATCAAGAAGGGTAGAAAGCAGCAGCCTAAATATCTGAAAGAGCTTTTAGAAAAATCTACTGGTTTCATGGGGGTGTTAAAGTTTGATAACGACCAAGTTCCATCTTTAGATTCTGAAGAATCTCTTAATTGTTGGTCCCTTCCTGTTGTTACCCTAACAAGCATTGCCATTGCACTTCCCAACATTGAAAATCACCAAGTGAATCGGTTGATTCGATGTGTGAGAGAGGGCCTCTTGTATGTCAACCTAGTAGAGGAAATACTGAATGACAAAGAAGACTTGGCTAACTTCAGAAATGCAGCAGACATAGTTTGGTTAGGAGTCGATCTTTTCTCCAAATGGCTAGATGAAGATCTCTGAAAAATCACTCTTGAAGGAAAAACCTGAAAGGAGACTCTATCAAGACTTGCTAACATGGCAAAAAATAAAGTGATGGAATTTAAGGCAAATGATAATGGAAACCATAAGGAGAATCCTCCGAATTGGCGAATCAAGGTTATTGCTGCTTATAAAACGTACAGAATTAGCCAAACTGTGTTGCTGGACCTTGAAGGCTGCAACGACCACACTGATGAGACACTACTAGAGGAATTAACTATTATGATCGCAGACATATTGGGTGCTTGCCTCACAAACTTACCAAGTGTTATAACTAAGAAATGCTTTTGCAGTGCCATAGAAAAGAGGGAGAAGACTGTCCAGCATGCAGCTCATCTTCTTGGTGAAACTGAAGAGATTCTGAAAATCCTTCAGCAGCGTGAACTTCCCAATCTAAATCCTGATAAAGCAGCATATATTGAAGAGTGGCGTGCTATAATCAAGCAGGAAATTCCTTTGGATTCCGTTTCTTCCCCCAAAAATTCCGCTTCTTCTTCTGATGGCTCTGGTGAGTTGCATATTGCAATTGAGTAGGAGGCCTGGTTGAGAAAATTCAGGCAAATTATAATGTATTTGTATGGTATGTTTTCAATTCCGAGTTCTCTTTATTTAGATATTGTATGAACTCTCAGAATAAAGCTTATGATTAACACAGGTAAGTTATGTTGCAAACTTAGAATAGAGACATATAGCATTGATATGCAAGGTACTTAATTTTTTTAGATATCATTTGAATTTGTTGCAATCGAAACATTACCACTTTTCTTGCATGCCACTTAATTATTGTTGATAATCTGTCCCTCCAAGGCCCTAGCACCCTCGATGTACAGAGACCATATTGGGTAACTGCCCTTTTTTTTTTATCTTATCCAACTGCCAAATCTAACTCCATTTTGATACTGCTGCAATTTGCTCATGGTTTTGATTGGTGGTGGCTTAGTCTGTTTGAGTTACTCTCTGTTCAATTGTTTTTCTTTGCTTTTACTTCAGTTGTTTGTTTGGTTTGGAGTGTTCTGTTGTTTGTTTTGGTTTTTTCTGTTGTTTGTTTGTTTTGTTCTGTTGTTTTTCCTAGGGGTATGCCTCATTGACTTTGTAACTCTTGTGTTTGGTTTTATATCAATCTTGATTATCGAAAAGAAAAAAATAAATTTATCTCCATTTTATCTCAACCCTGGAGTATATAGTTAGAGAGGACAAGTATGATGTATCAGTATACAACTATCAGAAGCTATGAGTCCCTCAATTGTTCCATGCACAACAAATGACTTATCATATGGAGCGAGCTCAATACTCTTGGTTCGACAAATTTCGTAACCATATGATTGATCAGCCACAATGGATCATCATTCATTAATTAAAGACAACATGGTTGGTTAAGCACGAGCCTGCATTATATAACAAGGTACCATTGAACAGCTAATTAATTATTCCAAAATGCGGGCTCTTACGGATTCAAGTGTCAAAGGACTCTCGATTTAGGTGCCACTGAACATTTGTTAAACTTCCAGTGAACCATTTGAATGATCAAGTAATAATATATGCCAAACATGATCCATTTAAAATATTTTCTTCTAATTCATGGTTTGTTGCAATCACTCCATTTATTAACAATGTTGGTTGATGAATTAGTACACTAATTTTTCATAATTAATGTATAATACCTAAAACATTTAGTACGTGTTTTATAACATTGAACTAAAAATATGATTATTATTCATAAAGGTTGAAAGTTATATGAAGAAAAGATGCATTTGGAGAATCAAAGTCCCTTAAGAATGTACCTGGACATGGAGATCTCTGCTGCACCTCAGACCTGCAGCCAATTGCCTCATCAAGTCAAAAATTGGGGACGAATCAAGGACCTCTTTCTCGTTCGATAATTGGTGCTCAGTTGGAACTTCAGAGTTTCCAGCTCCAAGCATCCATGACGGAATTGAGTTAACTGTCCATAACAACGGCCATCTGATTTTGAATTCAGCAACGGCTCTATTTTGGTATCCAAATGGCCTACAACAGGATGGTTTTTGGGATTTGCCCTAAGTTACACAAAGCTGAATCCAGACCGAATGTGAGAGCAAGAGCACCAAAGGAGCAAAATTTAGGTCACACGGAATGAGAGGGAGCTAGGAAAGAATTGTGTAACTTAAGATTTAGATTACAGCCGCAGTCAAACTTAACAAACTTAACAATCTGCCCCGGCGGGTTGACAGTGATGGTCGGCTCTCGGGTCTGGCATCCACTAGGCCAATGTTGGATTTTCAAATTTATAACTTAGGGTGGGTCCTGAAAGAGTCCTACCTATAAAAGTTCCTGCTGCTAATCCAAAAAAGAAAAAATTCTACCCAAAAGGCAAAAACATGTGTCCTAAAGTCGAAAAAATGCGAAAAAATGAAGAAACTCAAACATAACTTCACCTATATTAACTTACACAGACTTTATTTGTTTGGATGTAAAATATTTTTTTTAATTTTTTTTTTTTTGATAAGTTATTGTACGCATCTAGCCTAAAAAGAACGTAAAAAAATATATATTTTACCAAAAAAAAAAAAAATCTTTTATGAAGAAAATATCTCAGGTCGAAACAAACAGAATCTAAATCTTTGCTAAATTGGATATAAAATTTAGACTCCAACTTTCATTTATGCCTTTACGAAAGTAGATATAAAATTCAAATAATATTTTATAAAATATTTAAAATTTTGTTTATTAAAGATGTGAATTCTACACAAATTTGTGATTGAATTTAATTTAAATTAATTATTACTTAAACTCATAATGTAATATTCATTAATTAACGAAAACTTAAAGTAATATATATATATATATATATATATAAAATTAGATTATATACCATTTTTTCAATTTATAATTACAAAATTTTACTTTTAAATGAAAGATTCAATAGTTTTGAACTTAAATGATTTTTTCTTTTAAACAATAATTTTATTAATTTTAATAAAAATTTGTAAAACTTATTTGTCTTTTGTAAAGAAAAGTAGGAGTTAAAAGAAATTTTTCCTTACAAATATTGGAGGCTAATTTAACTCAGACGATGATAACCATTTTTTCTTCATATCATTCTCTACAAGTTCAGAGTGGAAGATCTACTTTATTTTCCTTTCAAGACAGAAAGTGGTGGGCCTGTCGTTAGATAGTAGTGGTGTGAATTCCATTGTCAAGCGCCCACACCATCAATGATTAAGGGTATCACTCAGATCGTACATAGAATCGGTAGAATTAAAAAAATCAACCCGAATCAAATTGATACTTGGTTACAATTCTTCAGCGATTTAGTTTCGGTTTTAAATTTGTGTAACCGTTAAGTTTTGCTTCGATTCGAGTTTAAAATCTTTTAGAACTATATATAATATATATTATTTTTTAATTATATAATTACAATACATAATGCTCCAAATACTAGAAAATTTAGATGGGAATTGAGGGAGGGACATGCATAAAAAATAGTGTTAATTTTAAGTGGTTGCAAAAGATTTCATTCATTATTTATAGTTTAATAGTAGTGATTTAGGGGCCAAATTGGGTAATTATCGAATTCACATTATGTGAGAGGTTGATGAATCCCATCACATAAGATAACATTGCATAATGAGACCAATCACTGCATCTACATAAATTAAATTCAATAATTACCGAATTTGGTCCTTAAATCATTATTCTTACTTTAATTTAGTTGTTAAAATATTTATTAATATCAACCGGAGCTTTTGACTTGTACAGATGATGGAAACTTGAAACATGAAGAAGGAAATGGCCAATTGAGCGTTTTTCAGAAATTGTTCATATAGTACCAAAAAAAAAAAAAAAAAAAAAAAAAAAAAAAAGAAAAAGAAAAAACTCTTGGATTGCTTACATCACTAGAGATCTTTTTAGTATGACTTTTGAAAGTTGATAATTAGTTTTTCAATATATATATATATACTTTTTTGTTAGAGTTAAACATATTTTTTTCTCAGTTTTACATAATGGGTAATTTTGGTTCGGTACCAATGATTCTAGTTCCTGTTTTTTAGGAATTGGTTTTTTAGGAATTGTTAGGAACGGTTCGATTCCGATTCCGTCATAAACTATATCAAATCAAATCATGTGCACTCCTAATATCCACACCGCGTATGATTTAACTTCATCAAAAACTTATCTCTAGTTCATACTTCATTTTCCTTTCAAAACTGAAAGAGATAGGCTAGAAAAAAAAAAAAGGTCAAAAAATTTATAATACTCAGAATATTTTGATAAGTGGTATCTCTCGTTATCAAAGCTTTCAATTTTCTCTAGTAAATGGCAAAAGTGAAGAGTTTTGAGATAAGCAAGAAGCTTTGAGCGAAGAGTCGTAGGAAGGTAGGAATCGTAGGAAAGGTGTTTTGTTATAGGCCACCCAATAAGTCTTATTTGACTACTTTGTGGTTTGTGAAAACAAATATCAACGTGTCTACATCTAGTTTTCTTACTCAAATTTGGATTTTTTTGCAAATGTACTTCTTCATTGATGCATACATATTTGTGTGTATATATACATATATATCATTTAGTAGTAGATTATATATAATGTGATTATGTGAGGCGGCTGGAGGATCAAAACGAATCATTAAAAAACGGTGCATTATCTCATCTTTGTGAAATTCGTGTTTGGTTAGCCCGATGTGATAATAAGTTGCTTGTCATGATGCAGAAATACTCCCTCAACTCTAAAATAAGTGTATTATTATTATTATTATTTTATTTATTTCAAAATAAGCCTTATTTTTTAAAAAAAAATAATATATTTTATATCTTTCTAAATATGTTCTTTAATTTTAAAATTTTAAATTTAAATATTCAAAAATTAAAAGAATAAGTTAAAAACTTTGTTAGAGAGACAATGCATGTTTTATATGTTTCTTTAAAAATTATTATCTTCTGGAAGGGACACGGGTGGAACGAAGAGAGTATATTATATGAATTATTTATTATATTCCGTCAAGTGGTGACAGAGAAACTGGTGTGACCGAATAAATTGACAAAAATTAATAAATCCAAGGTAAACTAATTTTTGAAAATTTTACAAGACTTAACATATGTAGTTCAACATTTCATTCAGTAGACTACCCATATAGCCCTCTAGGAGCAGAAACTATACTCGCACAGAATTAAGGTAAAGTTTTCTATTGATTCTAGAGCCCAAAAAAAAAATGTTCTTTTTCTACTCTTTATTCTACTCTCTTCTTCCCTTGTTCTTCTTCTTTGTATTCCTTCTGAAATGGTTGTCCAACCAAAAACCGCAAAGAAATCTGCCACCCTCTCCATCAAAGCTCCCAATTATTGGAAATCTCCACCAACTTGGATTAAGCCCTCATCGATCCCTCCAATCATTAGCTCAACAATATGGCCAGCTCATGCTGCTTCACCTCGGCAGCAAGCCTGCTCTCATCGTCTCCTCTGCTGATGCAGCTCGTGAGATCATGAAAACCCATGATCTCAACTTCTCGAACAGACCTAAATCAAGAATTCCCAGTAGACTTTTTTATGACAAGGACAAGGCATTCTCTCCGTACGGAGAGTATTGGAGGCAACTAAGAAGTATTTGTGCGCTTCACCTTCTTAGTAACAAAAGGGTTGAGTCTTTCCGTAGAGTGAGAGAAGAAGAAACAACCCTTATGTTGGAGAAGATTAAACAGTCGTCGTCCTCTTCTTCTTCGCCAGTAAATTTGACTGAAATATTAATCTTACTGACAAATGATATTTTTTGTCGCGTGGCCTTGGGAAAGAAATACAGTGACCGCGGGAAAGGTGATATAAAGTTAAAGGAGCTGTTTAGTGATTTTATGGAGGTTTTGGGTGCTTTCAATGTGGGGGAGCATATCCCATGGCTTTCATGGTTGAATCATATCAATGGTTTGAATGGTAAAGTGGAGAAAGTTGCTACAGAGCTCGATAAGTTTTTGGAGGGAGTGGTGGAAGAGCATATGGATAGTCGGAAAAGAGACATCGATGGTTGTGGGAGTGATGAAAATGATGAAGGGCAAAAGGATTTTGTAGATGTGCTACTTGAAATTCAAAGGGACAGCAGTACATTTTTTGATAGATTATTGATACAAAATTTGAGAGTCGGTCACATCCCATGAGTGGGGGATGACATGATGATACCATCATATTTAATGATGCCATGAAGATGTCATTCTCCACTTACATTAAATAGTACAATACAGTCTACTTATCAATACTCCTTTGGATAATTTGCTAACAAACTCAACTTTGAATGCATAACGCTTCCCTTACATAATTTTCCATGCCGATTGAAGGCCACTTCCTCCATTGCACAAAATATTTATCAAGAAGGAATTCTTATAAAGTGATAATTAATATATGCCTTTGCATATGATTTAAAGGTTTAAATCACTTCCACGTCTTCCAACAATAGTACTTGAAGGAATTGGGAATTTATCACTGCCGTCTGATTTCATTTTTTATGACCGATATTGACAACTTGTTGATTACAATATTATGTTTCTTGTAGAATATGTATACAGGTGGAACCGATACTACATACACAGCTCTAGAATGGGAAATGACAGAGCTTTTAAGACATCCAAAAGTCATGAAGAAACTCCAGAATGAGGTTTGAGGAATAGCCAAAGGCAAAGACGACATAACCGAGGATGATTTAGAGAAAATGCAGTACTTGAAGGCGGTGATCAGGGAGTCTCTGCGGTTACATACTCCAGTACCATTGCTAGTTCCTCGAGAAGCCATTCAAGATGTCAATGTAATGGGCTACGACATTGCAGCCGGCAAACAAGTATTTATCAATGCTTGGGCAATTGCGCGGGATCCATTATTGTGGGAAGATGCCGAAGAGTTCCGGCCAGATAGGTTCTTGAACACTTCTATAGATTACAAAGGGAAAGACTTTCAATTTATTCCATTTGGAGCTGGTAGGAGAGGTTGTCCCGGAATCCATTTCGCCGAGCCTATTAATGAGCTTGCATTAGCTAAGCTTGTTCATAAGTTTGATTTTGCGCTGCCTAGTGGAGCGAGAGACCAGGATATGGACTTGACTGAAGGCCCTGGTGCATTAACCCTAAGCAGAAAGTACCCTTTACTCGTTGTTGCAACTCCATATTCTTGTTAGTACTGTACTTGCTGCATGGCTGATGAAACTACC